TAAGCATCTGACTCTTGATTTCAGCTCAGGTCATGATCTCACAGTTTGTGAGTTTGAGCCTATGTCGGGCTCTGTGCTGACAGCACAGAGCCTGCTTGGGATTCTCTCCCTCTGCCCCCTCCCACTCTCTCTTTTCTCAAAAATAAATAAATAGACATTTTTCAAAAACATACAAACAAAACACCCTGATCAAATGTTGTTTTGCTGGCTCTAAGCTGACAGTGTGGAGCCTGCTTGGGATCCTCTCTCTCTGCCCCTCCCTCGCTGGTGCTCACATGCTCGCTCTCTCTCCCTCTCTCCAAAATAAATTTAAGGGGCACCTGGGTGGCTCAGTCGGTGAAGCGTCCGACTTCGGCTCAGGTCATGATCTCACGGTTTGTGGGTTCGAGCCCTGCGTTGGGCTCTGTGCTGACAGCTCAGAGACCAGAGCCTGCTTCAGATTCTGTGTCTCCCTCTCTCTCTGACCCTCCCCTGCTCACATTGTCTCTCTCTCTCTCAGAAATAAATAAAACATTAAAAAATTTTTTTTAATAAATTTAAAAACTTGAAAAACCAATACTGCCCACAGAGGATGAAAAGTTAATGTAAACATCTGGGAAGAGTACGCTCTCGGTAACTTAATTTTAATGTCTTTAATGTATCGTTTTATATTCACATTAACAATCCCTCTACATGTACAGGCAAGAAAATAAAGAAAATAGTACCAGCCAAGTTCAACACCAACGTGAGTTCATCGCTCCTAAGAATCTATGGACTGGATTTATAGCAACGCCTCCTGACCTGCCCCGTCCTGACCCACCCCCCCACCCCCACCCCCACCCCCACCCCCCCAGCGATCACGGCCAGACTCCCTCTGAGCCTTGAGAAGCATTTGCCAGTACATAGCACTCTCATGAGTTGTCTCTCCTTTTAAAGAAAAAAAAAAAAGCTGAAGGCAGGGGTTAAAATCTCAAACGCCTATGGGGGCCAGGACAGTAAAGAGGGTGAGTGAAGCAAACCCCCCGTTAGACATGAAGGAGTAGTGCGGACTGTGGCAATCGGAGAAGCCAGACTCCATCCAAAGGAAAAGCTGCTACCAGCTCTGGCCAATTTTCGCCAGGGAAGAATATGAGGTTAACGGTTGGCACATCTTCTAAGTTTTCAAAGGAAGCCAGAAATCCAGATTTTTGTGTGAGACCTCCTGATTTACAAATGCTGGCACGTAACTCATTATTTTTGAAACATGGAAGTCCTAGCAAGATGCATCTGCTTGCGTCTTCAGAGTTGAGGGGACAGAGCCCTCCCGGCTGTCACTGACTGCCAGGCAAGGCGGGCCGGCTGCACCCAGGAATTCTAGACAGATCTTAATTAAGCTCCAGGCAGAGGGCCTATTAGTTGATAAAGGCTTTGGACCAGAGAGTGAGAGAGTCCCCTGGGTGCTGGGGCGGTGGAGGGGAGCCAAAGACAGGTGGGTTTTGAGACAGGCTGTGAGGACTGTCAGGACTAGGAAAAACTAAGGAACAAACCACAATCCAGAGGGGGCACCGGATGGAGAAGGGCAGTTAGAAGGAACTGGATGCTGTAGCTCGGAGCTCGGCCCTTTCAAATGCGGATCCAAACTGGAACACCACAGCGCTCGCTCCAGGAGGTTCTATTAGGAAGGTGACCACATGCTCTGGGCTGATGGCATTTGGAGATAGCAACGGAGGACGCGGGGCCCTCCCAGGGGAAAGGACAAGGCACAGCTCGCTCAGCGCAGCCTTCGTGGGGCCGGAGTCCCCTACCCCAGGCCGACTTCTCCAGGCACACGGATCGGCTTCCATGCAGTCTCTCCCTCACTAGGACGTAAGCTCTTCTGGGACTAGAAATGTGTCTTTGGGGGGCGCCTGGGTGGCTTAGTCAGTTAAGCGTCCGACTTTCGCTTAGGTCATGATCTCGTGGTTCGTGGGTTCGAGCCCCGCGTCGGGCTCTTTGCTGACTGCCAGCTGAGAGCCTGGAGCCTGTTTCAGTCTGTGACTCCCTCTCTCTCTGACCCTCCCCTGCTCACGCTCTCTCTCTCTCTCCTAGAAATAAATAAAAATATTAAAAAAAAAAAGAAAAGAAATGTGTCTTTGGTATCCCCAGCACTTGGCCTATAGAAGGCCCTTGATGTATGTGTGTCACAAGGTCCAATGAATGGAAAGAACAAAAAGACATCAAAGAATAGGGTATATGATCGCACTTCCAAAACAGAAAGGTTCCCCCAGGCAAGGAAAATGAGCAAGAAAATGGACGCCCGTTGCTCACAGCAGCCATGAAGGTTTGCGGGAAGGAACTCCTCACTTGGGGTACCCAGAAAAGGACAGTGACAGCCCATAATGACCAGAGTCACCAAGGTCTAAAACAGTCCCAAAGCCCCCAGGAGAGGGACACAACGCACCAGCACCACCCGTCAGGGCAATGCTGGGTGCCTCGGATCGCTCGGGAAGTAAAGGCAGGTATAACCCCTTCCCTGGGTGGACGGAACAGCTGAGAGTCTCAGGCCACCGAGGGGACTTGGGTCCACTCACAGAGCATGTCTGGTAGCAGAACCCGAGCCAGGACGGCCAGTCCAGAGCACCCTGGACAAGGAGCAGAGCTGGGCCCCCTGCTTGGGGCACAGATTTTAAGGAAGCACTAAAAAGCTCAGCATTCAAGACAAATAACATTTTGATACACTCTTGTTTTTTTAAATCAAAATTAGTGCAAAACAAACCCATGACGAATGGAATCCTAACTTTTAAAATAAAGCTTTCAATGCAGCTGTGCTCTGGTATGCCTCACCCTCACCCTCTGTGCCCGGATCTGGGCCCATAGGTCCCAAGGGGACGGCTGAGACCTGAGACCGGGAGTATGGTTATATGGAAAGCTAGGGGCGGATCCCTCCAGGTGCGAGGTCAGAGCTCGCTTGGGGCGTCCCAGGTTCACAAAGGCAGACCGCTGGGGGGGGGGGGGTGTGACTGGAGGGAGGTGGCTCAGTGGGAGGAGGTGGCCTGTGAAGGCGCTCCACCCCCACCCCACACCCTCCCAAACTCCTCTCCTAACACTAATCACCAGCCTTACAAATCTAAGCCCTCCCATCTCAAGGGGGAGGATGGATAAAAAAAGCTTGGGCTCCTCGGGATAACCCTTCGTGCCACAGAAAAACAACCTAGAACTTTACGACTTACTGACAGTTGGTTATGAATGAGAAGGAAAGCATATTCCTAAACCGCTGACAGTAATTCCCTTTTAAGGTATTTCCTCGGGGCCAGGGATGCCACATCCTCCTCCGGCCCCCACTCTAATAGCAGCTTTTTTTTTTTTCCCCAGTGACAGGCTTGGGCTTTTAGGTTAGACAGGCCTGGACTCAGATCCAGGTCTGCCATTTACTGTGTGACCCCAGACAGTCTGCCAAGACGAGAGGTCAGCAACTCATGCTTCCAGCGGCCTGGTGGTACCGCAAACGACATGACATGGGCCGAGGGGCAAACCACAGGCAAAGGGGTGTCCCTGACCCAGCACACCACCCCCAGGAGGGATGTCAGCCAGATCGCTCAGTGTTTCCAAAGAAAAAAATGTTCAGTGAAATCTCCCGAGTTTTAAAGGTTGGCAACTAATTCACAATTTTTTTTTTTTTTAATTAATCCAGCAGAGCCGAACAGAACAGGGCTTCGAGCCGCAGGCGGAACCCATTTTGCACCTCTGACGCCTACAAACCGCCCAGCAAACCGCCCGGCACCTAGGAGGCGCTCAGCAAGCATCGGTGGCTCATCTTTTTGGAAAACCTTCACAGGCACCGTCAACATGCATTTCCACACGACAGCTTGGGAACGAATGCTTCTCAGGAGGGAGATGAAGATAGGAAGAGAATAACTGAAAATCTGGAAGGCTCTACAGGGAGGGAGGAACTGCAAAGAGGAAATTCCTTAAAAGGATTTAAAAGAATTTTATTGGACATAGTTTAGCACAAGTCAGGGATCAGAGCAAGCAGTAATTTAACTCCCGGGCACAGAAAGTGACTGTGTATGTGGGTGGACGGGGGGGCGGGGGGGGGGCGCGGGAGGAAAGAACTGTCCTTACAGATGGTCTCCCCCCCGCCACTGCCGTGTTTCGGGGTTTTCTGTCCACAGGTGACCCAACATCTGACTCAGGCGCACAGTGTCCACAGGCCCAACCCCCGGGGATAGCATCCCTCTCCCAGAGGTGTTCATATGGGCCAGCTCATCGTCCACTCCACTGGAGCTGGGAGATCATGCGGGCTTTGAAGTCAGACCCAGCTGGGTTGAGCTTCGAGTCTTCAACATCAGTGGTTCTCAAAGCCCCAGACCAGGAATCTCAGAATAACCAGAAAACTTATTAGAAGGGTTGAACCCCTTGAATCTGAAATTCCCTAGGACTGTCCTGAGTCTTCCTCCGACAATTATTTCCGAAGCATCTGTCTGTGCCTGGCAAGGTAGAAGATGCTGGAAGGATAGCACATAGTCCCAGCCCCAACGGAGCTTGGTGTCTCGTGGGGGAGACGGACAATAAGCAAGGAAAAAAAGATACAAATGCCCATTTTCAGACAGGAGAGGAAGGCAGGGACCCCATCAACCACACAGGGCCCTGTTTCTCAAAGTGTGTTCCAGGGACCACCAAAATGCACACAGCCAGGAAGACCTCCTCTCCTACACCCCTCCTTCCTACATCTCCCTGATGTCTCCGCTCTCCCTCAAACATGCCTCCCCCCTTCCTGCTTCAGGACCACGGTCTTTGCTGTTTCGTGCAGCTGGGAAGCTCCCTTACCAGATCTCCCAAAGATGGGCTCCTTACCCTTGTCCGTGGCTGTGCATGTGCCCCTCTTCAGGGGTCTGTCTACAGCGGTCTCCCCCTCTGCTCTGGCTCGTTCTTGCCCCGCTCACCGACCGCAGGGCCGCAGGCCTTTCCCTGAGCAGAAGGTGAGTTCTTGGGGACAAGTCCTTGTCTGTTGTGGTCACCTCCTGGCACCAGTCAGCCACCTTTTGACAGCGGGCAGTCTAACCCTATTTCTCTTCATCGAGTCCCAGGAAGAGCGGGCGCTCGCCTCGGGGGCCTGCTCCCCACGCGGGAGGACAGGGTCTCAGGCCCGGCTTCCTCCACAGCTCTTCTTTGCTCTCTGATGGAGGGGAGGGGCCATAGAGGCTGGAAGGCAAAGAGGAACGGAGGGTGCGAGGCAAGCGACACTAAGAGGCCGGCGGCTCTGCGGTGGCGCCCTCTGGGGCACAGACTTCCAACCCAGCCCCCCAGCAACAGCGCAACTCCTACCAATTCCGAAGCGAGGCGTCGCTCCTGCCCGGCTGCCTGCGCCCCGGGCGCTGGACCCCGGGACCCCAGGACCCGGTGTGAGAGCCCTGCTTCGGCCGGGGGTGCCGGCGGCCGGGCCACGCGGACCCGGAGGGAAAGGCGGCCGGCGCGGCAGAGGCCATCCCTCGGAAGTTGACGCCGCCAGACGCGTGCCGTCCCTGCCCCGAAGTGACACGAGGGACCCGAGGGCAACAGTGCACTGGGACCTCGCGGTAAAGCACGCGCCAGGCGGCCCGTGGGCCCCGAAAGGTTGAAGCGCGTGAGGCGTGCGGGGACTTGACGTGGCACATGTAGACCCTGGGACAGCGGCGCGAGGGTTCCAGGACCAGCCGGGCGCCCGAGGCGCGAGGTGGGGGGCGGGGGGGCGCGCACGTCACGAGGCGCGCGACCCCAGGCGGGGGGAAGGGTGGGCGCGCGGACGGCCCCGGGGCGGCGGGGGCAGGGAGCACGAGGAGCGCGGGACGGCGGGGGCGGGGGGAACGGCGAGGGGGGCGGCGGCGAGCGCGCGGTCCCGGCCGGGCTCCGGCAGGGGGCGGGCGGGGCGCTGCCCACCCGAGGCGCGGGGCCCCGCGGGCGGAACCGGGCTTCGGGGCGAGGCCGGCGCCGCGCTCTCCGCCGCGCGCCCACTCTCCCCGCCCCGCGCGCAGTCCCCTCCCTCCGGCCCGCCTCCCGCCCCGCTCCCTCCCTCGGCGGCTGCGGCGCGGCGCTCCCCGAGCACTCGGAGCCCGGCGGGGACCGGGAGGCGGAGGCGGGGCGGCCCTGGGTCCGAGTGCGGGAGCCGAGCCGGCCCGGGGGCCGAAGTTTGCCCGCAGCTCCGAGAGGCGGCCGCGGGCGGCTCCGGGCCCCTGCTCGCGCCCTCGCCCGGGACCCGCCGGCAGAGCCCGGGGGACCGCGGCCGCGGCCGGGCCAACTCCGCCGCGGGGACGCCGTGACGGGAACTTGAGGTGGGAACTTTGCGCGCGGCGGCCCCCGCGCCAGCACACTCGGGCTCCGGCTCGGGCGGGGGAGGGGGCGGGGGCGCTGCACGTGGCCGTGACCCCCGGGCTCCCGCTGCGGCGGGGGAGGGGGGTACCGAAAACCGCCGGGCGGGGAGGCTGGGGCGACCGAGGACCCGGGAGCGGCTGCGGACGGCGGCGCGGGGCGCGCTCGCCACCGTCTCGGTGCGGGTCCAGCTTCAGCTCTTCCGGAGCGGTCCCCGGGGTGCGAAGTGTCGGACGTGCTCCGCCGCGGTGACGGGGCAGGGGCGAAATCCGGGCTGCGGCGGAGGTTTCTGGATCCCGGGTGGAGGGAGTTTGGGGAGGAGGTGATAGAGGGGGCGCCCGGCACTCGCTTATTCACTCCATCCTTGGGCACAGAACGCAGCATCTCCATCAGTGCAGATGGTCTTAACTAAGTCATTCATTTCCTCAAGCTTGTATTGAGCGCCCACTGTGTGCTGGGCGCTCGGGATTCCAAGACAGCCGAGCTCCCTGGAGGCTCTAGCATCTGAGGGTCAGAAAAGTGCGTGGTCGCCTCCTTAGCCTCAGGGGCTACATACCGAGGAGGGGCTCAGCCTGGGTGGACTGGAGTCTTTGGGTGAGGAAGGAAAAGAGAGAAGTTCATTCATTAATGAGCGGAACAAACGTGGGTTGAGCACCTACTGTGCGCAGCTCACCAAGCCAAGTGCCTCACATGCATTATTTCCTTCACTTAACAGTCACTGAGGCGCTGAGCTGGGGAGAGAACACTGAAGGAGATGGGATGGGGGTGGGGTAGAGTGGAAGCCTCTTGCAGCCTGGAGAGAAGTAGGGACTAAGACCCAGGCCCTGCTGTGAGGAGGCCCCAGCCTGCTGCAGTCAGCCCCCCTGTGTATGGGCATAAGCAGAATAGCCTTTTCCTCGGTTCCGGTAACGCAGTCATTCTCAAGGGGAGCGGGAAAGCTGAGTAGATTTCTTGGATAGGAAGAAAATGTCTTCAAAAAGCTCCTTAGGGGAGGCTGATCATGGGGAGGGGGGTTGAGAGCTACTGATCTAACACTGATGAATGCAGGCTCCCACCAACAACGGTTTCTTAAAGTTGTCTGTTCAGCCAGCATTTTCTTAAGCACTTAAAGGATGCCAGGCATCAGAGTCACCCAGAAGATGAGCAGACAGGGAGACCTGACCTCCTTCTCTGACACTTTGAGATAAAACGCCGGGGGGGGGTGGGGGGAGCAGGAGCTGCTCTGATTCATTTGAGGGGGGGGGCTCCTGCCTCTATGAATCTGAGCAGAGGTTTATTCACTAGGGTGTGTCTGATACCCACACACATGACGGCAGTCAGAGCCACTATGGGGAGCAAGTCTTCAAGGAAAGTTTGGCACTGCTGGAGACCAGTGCTGGGGCCAGGGGAGGGACAGGTGGCCAGCACACGCTGGCTTTCTTGAATGGACTTCTTGGGTTCTCATAGACCTGAGCTTGGCCCCAGTGCCCTCTGTCTTTGACCTCTGCAGAGGCCCCTGCTGGGTGGGGAGCGAGGGAAGGTGAGCTGGAAAGACAGGCTACGATGGCCTCTGGGGATTACCCTTAAGGGGTCATTCCCTAAAGCAGCCCACTCCAGTGGAAGGCTGTCTGTGGTGGGACACGCCCCAAACCCGTGGGCCACTGTTAGTGTGCTGGAAACAAGGTAGCCTTGACCTCCCTGTCCCAAGGTTTGAGAACCCAGGCTGGGGGCACCCTAGAGCCTGGTTGGGGCGGATCTGAGAGCCCGGCTCCAATCCCACTGCCACTTTGAATTCTCTGCATCAGACACACAGCTGGGTCCTGGCACCGAGGCTCGAGAGGTGCCCCCAGGGAACGTCCCCACGGCTGCAGGGCTACGACACCCAAACCCGAAATTAGGAATTAATCCCCTGGACCCCCACAAAGTATCTTCCCTGGGCTGTCCTGTCTCTGCATCCCTTTTCCAAAGACGTGATGGAGGGTCAGCGTTTCTGGTTGCCAAAGACATAGGGGTCTGAGAAGCCACTCTTGGTTGATTTGTTAAACCCAGAAACGTAGTCCCCCTGGGGGGGGGGGGGACAATGGTGGCTGGAAAAGCTACTCTAAAGAGGATGAATAAAAAGGGAGAGACAGGAAAGTCTAGCCTGCAAGCGCTCCTTCACTGTTGGCCATTTTTATCGTAGAGCAGACAGTATTTGGTTAACAAATGAGAACACAGAGTGAATGGGCCACAGACAGGCCCTGCAGCGTGCCTCCGTGCCTCCGCTTTGCCCCTACCCTGGGGTGGCTTTGCGTCACACCTGCGCCTCCCAGGGCCAGGCATGCTCGGCCAGGCCCTCCCTGCTTCCTCACTGCCCCGCCACAGCGTGCCACAGACACTGCAGCCTTAACACCTATTAAAGGAAAAAGAACAGAAGGGCTGTGTGTGCAGTGTCCCCTTCCTGCTGCCCAAGGTCCTCGAGGTGCCCCAGGAGGCTGCTCCCCGATTATGCCCGTGCTCCCAGGTTTTGGGCTGCGAGGAGGCCAATAGAAAAGCACCTTTGTCTCCCGCCCCAAAACCACTCCTGGTAGAAGACAAATGCGTATTTGGTGTTATGTTGCCAGAAGCAGAATAAGGAGGCTCCGGAGGCCAATGTATCTTTTTTATTGAGGGACGCAGGGACTCTGGCACATTTTCTTTTGGGGGGCAGAGATGGAGGGAAGAGCCCAGCTCCCAGCAGATACTTCACTCCCACCGGTATCTTGGGCCCCACCTCTCAGGAAGCAGGACTGAGATCCGCCCGGCTTGGCTGCCTTGTGACGAGGTTGAACAGCAAGTAACTAAGACAGACAGATTCTCCGTGCGGGCGCCGCATCCCAGGGAGCTCCGGCGGGCTGGGACCTGGGCCAGCCTACTGGCTGGATCCATTTTGATTAACGCTTTAATTGGGAATTAATGCAGCATGACCCTCCTCTGAGGCAGCCCAGCCAGGAACCCCCTAACCCTGAGAAATGAAGCGGCAGGGCAAAGACGGCGTGGAGAGATCTCGGAGGGAGGGCACAGGCTGAGAATCGTGGTGTGAGAGGAAGAAGCCGAAGCCTGAGCTGCTCGGGAGAGAGATGCTTTTCATTTAGAAAATTGGCCTTTGAAGTTGTGTTAGGTCCCCACTGCCACATATGGCCACCAACCTCATGGCTCAAAGCAACACAAATTTAGTACCTTACAGGTTGGGGGATCAGAAGTCTAAAATGGGTCTCAGTGAGCTAAGCTCAGGGCGTCGGCAGGACTGTGTTCCTCCTGGGGGAAAATCCATTTCCCTGCCCTTTCCAGCTTCTAGAACCTGCCCGCATCCTTGTCTCCTGGCCCCACGTCACTATGGCCTCTGATTCCGCCATCACATCTGCTTCTCTGACTCTGACTCTCCCGCCTCCCTCTTTAAGGATGCTTTGTGATTACATGGGGCCCACCTGGATAACCCAGGCTCACCTCCCCACCTCAAGATCATGAATTTAATTAATCACATCACCAAAATCTCTTTTGCCACATAAGGTCACATATTCTCAGGGTCCAAGGAACAGGACATAGACCTCTTAGGAGGACCATTATTCTGCCTACCATAGGGGTATGCCTCATCAGCTTATGTTACAGATGGGGAAACTGAGGTCCAGCCAAATGAATGACCTGATGTCAGTGCCAGGTGAGAGGAGAGCCAGCACTGGAGCCCGCCCTTCTCAAAGATGTTTTCTGCTTCACATTCGTCCTCTAAAGAAATGTAAGGGGGAGGAGTCCAGCTTGCTACACAAAAGCCATTCTAGCAAACACAGAACGCTAACGTGTGCAGACACAGCTCCAAGCACTTACAAGGTGGGATAATTACCCCAGTGTGCTGAGAACACTCAGGCACAGAGAGGTGAAGTCGTTTTCCTAAGGGTACACAGCTAGGAAGTGGAGAACCAGGCAAGTGTGGCCCAGAGGCCACACCCTCACCTCTGGCTGGTACCTGTTTACACCACAGGAGAGCACTTCTGCCCGGAGGCCAAAATGGCAACTCAGAATTTGACAATATCAAGGGGTTTGTTGATTTCTTACTCTGTTCTTGTGCAAATATACAATAGGAATAAATGTGTTTCCCCCAGCCATGGGCAACTGTCTGCTTCCCCCTATCACAAAAGACTCTCCAAAAGCTTGTCAGTTGAGACTTCGAGATGTGAGATGCAGTCCCTGGCTTGCTGCAGGTGGTGGAGACCTCTCCCTCCCCCCAGGAGCCAGTAATCCAGGGAAGCAGTGAAATACAGATGGTTGGCCTTGGAGTCCTACAGGCATAGATTGATTCTGGCTTCACCACTTCTATCACCAGAATCGAAAGTTTTTTATTTCTCAAAGCCTCCATTTCCTCATCTATAAAATGGGGGTGTTAATGGTCATGTCTGACATGACTCATTCAGTTAAGGCTTTTAGCACAACACTGAGCACTTTGTGTGCAATTAAGGGTGGCTGTGGCGGTTCTTACAGTGCTGTGAGTGTTCGGCACTCTCCCTGCATCCCCCCCTCCCGCTCAGAAGAGGGACAGGCAGCTCCGGCCCAAGGGATCCGCATAGGACTGGAAAACAGTCAGGAGAGACCAGTGGTTTGTGAAAAATCCCAAGAGGCGTTTTAGCAGCTGAGATCAGTATACAACAGTTTATGGAAACTATTCATGACTTTGACGGGATGTGGCCATTGGGGGCGAGCCATCAGGCAACACTGCTAATTCCTGTAGAAGAATTCCATTCACCAGATCCCCACAACAGCCCTGCGAGGTAGGCACACTTACCCCCACCTTATAGGGAGGAAAGCGGCTCAGAGAGGACTGGTGACTCAGTGGGTGCAGATGGGCGTCTCGGGCCGAAGGCTCATTAGCAGGAGCAGCTGAGGTGGCCAGGCAAGCCTGACTTGGACCTTTGTCCCATCCCGCTCTCCCCTCCTACCCCCACCCCCGGGTCCTGTACATCCATTCACACGCAGACGCTGACTAACTACACAGCAGCCTCATGGCCTCTGAGCCTCAGCCACTCAGGACTCCTTACGGTTTAAATGACTATTTATCTTCGGAAACGAGTGCTCAGCCCTCCGTCATAGCTTGCGCACATCATCTCTCTCCCAGGAGGGAGGAAAAGAAATTGCATGGGGAGTTTCAACAGCTCTGTAGGCTCACAAAGGGCAATTCGATCAAGGAGCCCCAGTGCAGGTTTTTCCTCTCAAACCAGAAGGGTTTCTAATGGGTGCCACAGAGCCTTCCGGAGGCCCCAGAGAGATGGCAAGTTGGTCAGGGGGCTCTCTACCAAATTCCAGAGCAGTTCTAGCACCCCCAGACCCCAGGGTGGGGGGTGGTCCCCAGGTTTTCAGCCTTGAAAACTCTTTTGGTCTCTTTTGAACTTGAGCGTACATGAGCA